TTGGTGAGGTGAAGATTTCTTAGAACATACAAAACACAAAGCATAAAAGAAAATAATTGATGTTAGATTACATTAACTAAATCCTTCATCAGTTAAATTTTTTTGTTTGTTTTTCCCAACTTGGGTTGTCACAAACATCAATTAAATTTTTTTATATTTATTTATATTAAAAAAAATGTTTTAAAAATGAGGTTTCACCATGTTAGTCATACTGGTGTCTAACTCCCTACCTCAGGTGATCCACCCCAATTAGATTTTTTTATGCGTTAACGACAAGCCTCAGACTGGGAGAAAATATTTGCAAAATATGCGTCTGATAAAGGATTAGTAACCAGAACATATCAAAGCTGAAAACTTAAAAGGAAAAAAGAAAAGGCAAGAGATTTGAAGAGGCACATCACCAAGAAAATGTAGAATAAATGGCAAATACATGAAAATATGCTTAATTTTGAGTTAATTTATCTAAAAAAATAAATGAAATATTTGTAGAGTGCTGGAATATGGTAAGTATTAAGGAAATGTTAATCATTATTAACACTATTGGTATTGGTTTCTTTTTTATTTATTTTGGTTTCTTTTTTATCAATATTATAAAAACCTAGCTGTGGGCAAAATACTTACTTTGATTTTTTTTCCCTACTCATTTCTTAAAACAAAAAAAGACTGACTTCAATAGATAAATAGCCAGAGAGTATTAAAACATAATTTACAGGGGAAAAAACCTCAAACATACCAAGAAATTGTTTAATTCTCATAAGTGTATAAGTTAGATGAGGTAAGAAGAGATTGGTCTGCAAAGAAGCAGTAGCATTTAAAAAGGCCCAGATGGCACAGGGGATTCTGACATGTTTAAGGATCTGAGAGAAAATCAGTCATGTTTCAAACCCCAGTCCAGCTTTAGTTATGTTCTTTTAAGCAGACAGGGAACTTGATATTTAAAAAGTGATTTGGAATTGCTGGAAGAGCACCCTCAATTCAGGCTTTTCTAAGACTGGACTCCCAGAACACTTCATATAGCTGGCCCACAAGGAGAGCGGCATCCTGTGCTCTAATCAGAAAGGTGGGGAAATCAGGAAGCCACATTGCAGTAGCTCTTCAGTAGGGACACACTTTTAGCCATGATCCAGTGATTAAGAAATCACCATTGGTATAATTTGCTACGGAGCCTCACACAGTTGAATAGATTAGTACCAGCACAAAATGGATGGTTCTTCTCTCTATCTTCACAATACTAGCAGCCAGTCAGTAGAAAGCTACTGTGTATGTACATGCCCACACACACATACACACAACACCTCACTCCATACTTGCCAGCTAATAGCAGAAACTATAGTACCACCTCTTCTGACCTTTTACCTTCCAAATCTTGAATAAGTGCCTCTGACTGGTTATTCCAGAATTATGACATCAACTCCATTGCAAGGGAATCCAGGAAATGTAGTTTTTAGCTTTCCTACCTCAGTACAGCACATTAAAAATGTGCACAGAACGACATATTTTAAAGAGGGAAGAATGGGTCGGGTGCGGTGGCTGACACCTGTGATCCCAGCACTTTCAGAGGCTGAGGCAAGCGGATCACAAGGTCAAGAGATTGAGACCATCCTGGCCAACATGGTGAAACCCTATCTCTACTAAAAATACAAAAATTCGCCAGACGTGGTGGCGGGCGCCTGTAGTCCCAGCTACTCAGGACACTGAGGCAGGAGAATCGCTTGAACCTGGGAGACAGAGATTGCAGTGAGCCAAGATTGTGCCACTGCACTTCAGGCTGGACGACAGAGTAAGATTCCATCTCAAAAAAAAAAAAAAAAGCCGCATGGCCAAATCCAGAGTCATCCGTGGGAGAAGACTATACAAAGTGCACATATGAGAAGCCATTGTATCATAGTCAGCCTCCAAGATAGCCCTGAATGAACCGTATTTCCTTGTATAGTATTTACTCACACTGAACTGAGCTGACGTCAGTAATGAATAGGCTATGGTAGAAGTGATAGTGTATTCTTTTCAAGATTAGGTCATACAAGACTGTCACTTCAGACTTGGTCTCTTGGATCTTGCACTGGGGGAAAACTAACTGCCTTTTCACTGGAGACGTCTGGAAAGGCCCATGCAATGAGGAACTGAGGACTTCAATAAACAGCCAGTGTCAACTTAGAACCATAAGAATGAGTTACCTTCAAAGCACATCCTGCATACCCAGTCAAGCCTTCAGATGACTGCAGCCTTGACCAAGTACATACAGCCTCTTGAGAAATTCCAGGCCCACATGACTTAACTAAGTTCTTGAACTACAGATGATAAATACATGTTATTGTTTTAAGGCACTGAGTTTTGGGGTATTTTGCTACATAGCAGTAGTTTAAAAATACATTCTGGCCTGGGCAACATATGGCAAAATGTCATCTCTACAGACAAAAGTACAAAAATTAGCCAGGTGTGGTGTGTGCCTGTAGTACCAGGTGCTTAGGAGGCTGAGGTGGAAGGGTTGCTTGAGCCTGGGAGGTGGAGGTTGCAGTGAGCTGAGATTGCGCCCCTGCACTCCAGCCCAGGTGACAGAGCCAGACCCTGCTCTTGAACTCCTGGGCCCAAGTGATCCTCCTGACTTGGCCTCCCAAAGTGCTGGGATTACAGGTGTGAGCCACCGTGCCCAGCCCTTCTCTATCTTTTGCTTCACAAACCCTGATTCTGGCTTCGTTGGATTTGTCTAATTTCTCGAGATGGAAATATAGATCATTCTTTTGTAAAATACACATTTAAGATTATAAATTTCTGCCAGGTACAGTTTTAAGATACACATTTAAGATGATAAATTTCTACAGTTCCTCACACCTGTAATCCCATCACTTTGGGAAGCCGAGGTGGGTAGATCATGAGGTCAGGAGATTGAGACCAGCCTGACCAATCTGGTGAAACCCTGCCTCTACTAAAAATACAAAAATTAGCTGGATGTGGTGGTGGGCGCCTGTAATCCCAGCTAATCAGGAGGCTGAGGCAGGAGAATTATTTGAAGCCGGGAGGCGGAGATTGCAACAAGCCAAGATCGTGCTATTGCACTCGTGACAGGGTGAGTCTCTGTCTCAAAAAAAAAAAAAAAAAAAAAGATTATAAATTTCCTTTAAGTACAGCTGTAAGTGCATCCCACAAGTTTTGGTAGTTCATATTTTCATTATAATTCAGTTCAAAATATTTTCTCATTTTCATTATGATTCCTTCTTTTATCAGTTATACTTTCCTAAATATTTAAGGAAGAAATAAAACCAGTCTTACTATCAAATTTTCAATATACTCTGATAGAAAAAAGAGGGTTCACTGCTTATTTTGTTTCAAGCCAGTATAATTTAGTACTAAAACATGATACGGTTGTCTTAAGAAATTATAAGCCAGATTTTTAAAATATGATCACAAAAATAAAGGAAAAAATATAATAGCAAATAAAATACACATTGAAGTGTTATGACCAAGTTGTCTTTATTTTAGCAGTGTAAACTTGGACTAAAATTAGTAAAATTAGACTTTGTGATTGCAAACTTGGATTAAAATTAGAAAATCAGCCATTGGGATTTACTATATTAACAGAATTAGGGAGAAAATGTGATTATTTCAATAGGTGTCAAAAAATACACAATAGGCTCGGGCATGGTGGCTCATGCCTGTAATGCCAACACTTTGGGAGGCCCAGGAATTCAAGATCAGACTGGGCAACGTGGCAGAACTCTGTTGCTTCAAAAGATATTTTAAAAAATTAGCCAGGTATAGTGGCACATGCTTGTAGTCCCAGCTACTTGGGAGGCTGAGGTTGGAGGACCACTTGAGTCTGGGAGGCAGAGATTGCATTGGGTTGAGATCGCTCCACTGCACTCCAGCCTAGGCAACAAAGCAAGACTTTGTCTCAAAATAATAATAAAATGTAACACTTATGATAAAAATCTTGGCAAAAAGTATAGCTTTAATATTTGACAAGGGCAACAGATTGTATTAGTCCTGGTTCTCTTAGAGGGACGGAACTAATAGGAATATATGCACACACACAGAGCTAATAGGAATACGTACACACACACCCTCTTTCTCCCCTAATAGGATATATATAGGATACTAATAGGATATATATATGGGGCACATGCTACCATGCCCAGCTAATATTTTTGTAGAGACAGGGTCTTACCATGTTGACACACACACACACACACACACACACACACACTCTCTCTCTCTCTCTCTCTCACTCTCTCTCTCTAAAGGGAAGTTTATTAAATATTGACTTACATGATCACAAGGTTCCACAATAGGCTGTCTGCAAGCTAAGGAGCAAGGAGAGCCAGAACTTGGAGTCAGATGTTTGAGGGCAGGAAGCATCCATAAAGCATGGGAGAAAGATGTAGGCTGTGAGGCTAGTCCTGTCTGCCCTTTTCACATTTTTCCACCTACTTCATATTCGATGGAAACTGATTAGATTGTGCCCACCAGATTAAGGGTGGATCTGCTTTGTCCCCAGTCCACTGAGTCAAATGTTAATCTCTTGGCAGCATGGACACAGACACACCCAAGATTAATACTTTTCATCCTTCAGTCCAATCAAGTTGACACTCAGTATTAACCATCACACAGATTAAATAAACTGTGATTTATAAGTAGAGAATAATTTTTAAGGTCTGAGGAAATTATTGTGATTTGATTTGTAAATAAAGAATTATAGTTATTTGCATAATTACAGAGAAAACAGACTAGCATAAAGTACACATAAATGTGAATAGTAGTTTCTGGAGTTGAGAAGTTAATAGATTTTTCTTTATCTTCATTATTTGCATTTTATAATGATTCTAAAGTGTACATTGGTTAATTTTGTAACCATAAATAACAGCAGGTTAATTGTAATTAAATCTTTTAATCAGAAATACAACTGCATTAAAATAATTTTAAAATGCCTTNTTTTTAAATTACATCCTCCACTGATTTCTAAATACCAGGAGTTGATTATTTTGTGTTTTTGAACATTTTTACAGATGGTAGTGAAAACCTTTATGGATATGGATCAGGACTCAGAAGACGAAAAACAGCAGTATCTCCCACTAGCCTTGCATCTTGCATCTGAATTCTTCCTCAGGAACCCCAATAAAGATGTGCGTCTCCTTGTAGCATGTTGTTTGGCTGATATCTTTCGTATCTATGCCCCAGAAGCTCCATATACTTCCCATGATAAACTTAAGGTAAATATAGTCTTTACAAAATCATTTTATTGTATTTTCCATTCACAACTGATCAGAAGTTATACTTTTATTTTTATACTTTACCTTTATGAACATACGTTTCGTATTAGTCTCTTCATCTTAAGAGTATATCATAAGTTGCAAAATTATTCATTCAGTCAGTATTTTCACATACGACTGAGTTGTTTGTTTTGAGGCATAGAAAGGTGTAGTTCAAAACTGGTTCCTATATGCTCAAATCCAATTTTCTGGCTAATTCATCACAAAAGCCCAGATGGCTATGTTCCAGGGACAAATAGCAGATTAATGATACTTTTTAAAACAATAGCATACCAGAATTTACATAGTCATCTATTTTCTCCTATAAGTTATTTTTTTTTTTTTTTTTTTTTAAAGACAGTGCCTCACTCTGTTGCCTAGTCTGAAGTGCAGTGGTGTGATCTTGACACATTGCAACCTCCACCTCCTGGGCTTAAGGGATCCCCCCATCTCAGCCTCCCAAGCAGCTGGGACTACAGGCATATGCCACCATACCCGGCTAATTTTTTGTATATTTTGTAGACAGGGTCTTGCCATGTTGTCCAGCCTGGAAAATGACTTTTTATTGTGAAGTGTAAAATTCATTAAAGCATGAAATAGCAATTTTAAGGAGCCTAAACAAGGCACTCAATAATAAAATATAAAAGAAACGTAATCACTGATGTTGCCAAATATCAAATGAATTTTACTGTCCATATGGGGCCAGGAAGTACCGGGGCTAGATATATATAAAATGAGTAATAAGAGTCTTAAGTTCTTCATAAATGAGGTGCTAGTGCAGATAATGTGTATACAAGTAATTGAGAAAGTGATACGAGCTTTTTAGACTAGCCATTTCATACTTGTGATCTTTTCTGAAATTCTTAAATGAAGATTTATAAAAAGTTAACTGTGAGCCGTCTGGTGACCACCGGTTGCTAGTGGAGATGGTTTTCTTTTCTTNTAGAGACGGGGTTTCACCATGTTGACCAGGATGGTCTCGATCTCTTGACCTCGTGATCCACCCGCCTCGGCCTCCCAAAGTGCTGGGATTACAGGCTTGAGCCACCGCGCCCGGCCTCTCCTATAAGTTATTCGGCATGCAAAACTATATGCTCATCTTGGTTATTCTGCCTTTGTTCAAATGTTTGTGGAACTCTTACATTGATCACCTGAGCAGATTTTGTATTTTGAATAATTTTATTCTTGGCAAATTTTAATCCTTTAGACTGCTTTCTTTAAAAATAGTCCCCCAAATCATTTTGTACAATATTGATACTACTGTGAGTTGAAACTTCTAAAGAAAACTTATTAAGAAATGAAAGACTAGCATCATGAAACAGAACCATTGGACTAGTCTGTTGCCTTTTTTCACACACAACTTCATAGTCATACATCAACATCAAAAGTATTAGCTAAAAATTACTATTTACGTGTAGGAAATAGTAATGGAAAGACTCATATCCAACGCTTAACATGAAGATAGTTTTTGCCACAATGTAAAGTAGAGATAGTAAAGTGAAAGCTCAATATTAGAAGAAAAGATAATGAGATTTAGAGCCTGTGGTCCTCCTGAATACAAAAGCCTAAAGATTTGTAGAAGTAACTATCTTTATTTTTGCTTCTAGAGAGTATAAGTTTATTTGATTGGATATTTTTAATCATTTTGAAAAATGGACTAGGCCACTCCCAAGACATTCATCTAAAGGAGAATTTTCTTTATTGCAGTTTGTACACAGATAATATATTTACATACTGTTAGTGTGTTTTGAAAGAAAAGTATTTGTGTCTAAATTAATATATTTTATTTTTTTAACAGGACATATTTTTGTTTATTACCAGACAATTAAAAGGTTTGGAGGATACAAAGAGTCCACAGTTTAATAGATACTTTTATTTATTAGAGGTAAAATAACTTATTTAATAATTTATTTAATAACTATTATTTCACATGATAGCAAATTCTTCATGTTAACTTTGTAATGTAAAATGAGTCTTTGTGTTTTATTCAAAGCCTATAATAAAATGTCTTTTACATTTCATAAGGAAAATGTCATTGTATTTTTATTCCTGTCCTGAAGAGATAAAGTATATTCTCGTGGAAAAACTAGATTATTTGAAACTATACCTTTTGTTTGTATCTCTCTGTTTTTACTATTTTCTAATCTAAAAACAGATTTTCACTGTTCCTTAAATTTTGCATGTAAATATATCTACCAACCCAAAAATATTGAGTATTTTCAGTTTGAGAAAATTGATGCCATCAGGTATATATCTTTTTCAAGATAAGAGTATGTGATTAATTTAACACTTAAAATTTGATATGTTGAGTCTTTATAGACTTTAATATGTTTCTAATTCTAAAAATTTATACTGAACTTTTTATTATGTAACTATTCTGTGTATATATATATACTTCAATAATTATTTTTGTTTATTTAAGAATTTAGCTTGGGTTAAATCATATAACATCTGCTTTGAATTGGAAGATTGCAATGAAATTTTTATTCAGCTTTTTAGGACTCTCTTCTCAGTGATCAAGTAAGTTACTTTTTAAAGCATTTCTGTTTCTTTTTTTATTTATATATTCAGATGTTGTATAGTCTATGTACACTAAGATACTTCAGAGTTACAAGGAATAGTTTTCGTTAGAAGACTTAACATGAAGGGAAAAGTAAAAATCCTGTTTTCTGAACGCTGCCTTTGTCCTTATACTACCATTTTTAAATTATGGCATCAATTTATTGGTTGACTCTTAAGTGCCCCAGTCTGTCCTGGAGGCCATGGACTAGTAGAGAAGTATAAAGTAGTGCTCTTGTTTTGAAGAAACTTACTATCTAATAGAGGCAGCCACATATGTTTGTAAAGCAAATCACCTGAAACCTGTTATTAATATAATGAAACATTAAATTATGAGGTAGAAATTATGCAGATTTTATGTACCATTAGTGCTGGGAGGCATAATAGCTCAGTTTTTAAGCTCACTAACTACTACTTATTCTAGACTTAGGAAAAAAACCTTAAACATTCCCTAAGTTGGCCTTCTCTTTATAGAAATAGGGAGAGTAATCCAGAGCCAGGAAGTATAGTGGCTTGCCCAGGGACCAGTTGCTGGGCAGGAGGATCAAACTCTGATTTTAGCCCAAGTTTTTTGTTTTGTTGTGTTGTTGTTATTGTTTTGGTGTGTGGGAGTTTTGGTTTTGTTTTGTTTTTGAGACAGTATCTGGCTCTGTCACCCATGCTGGGGTGCAGTGGTGCCATCTTGGCTCACTGCAGCTTCTGCCTCCCAGGTTTAAGCGATTGTCCTGCCTCAGCCTCCTGAGTAGCTGGAACTACAGGTGTGTGCCACCATGCCTGGCTAATTTTTGTATTTTCAGTACAAATGGCATTTTGCCATGTTGGCCAGGCTGGTCTCAAACTTACGTCCTCAAATGATCCACCTGCCTCAGCCTCCCAAAATGCTGGGATTACAGGTGTGAGCTACCATGCCCAGCCTGGTTTGTTTTTTTGTGTAGTAAATCAAGCACTGCTATGAGATGTGTTCTAGAGAATTACATTATATACAAACATATCTCACAAAAGTTTTCTGGTAGCCACATTAATAGGAAAGTAAAAACAAGTGAAATTCATTTTGATAATTTATTTATTCCACTGTATCAAAAAGTATTTTCATTTCAATGTGTGACACTCTTCATACTTCACATATTTACCAACCACATGTGGCTAACGGCATGCATATTGAACAGCAGATAACCAGAGCCTTCTGCAGATTTTTATGAATGCTATATCATATTTTCCTTTTCCTTAGATGAAATGGTAGGATTAGACATTACCTGAAACAAACAGGAAAGGATCACTCCAGCTTGGCATAAGGATAGAAGCTTGTAGAAAGACTGCATGAGAAAAAGCTTCCAGAGACATTTGACTAGCAGTAAGCCCTTAAGTAAATGATGGAACATATAAACCTTACCTTTGTGTTTGTTAGCTTTTGCTGCATAACAAAATAACCTAAAACTTGATAGTTTAAGACAGCCACCATTTTATTTAGCTCATGATTCTGCTTGGCAGTTGATTTTATTTGGAGTGGATTTGCACCTGTGTTTGTAGTCAGTTGGCAGGATACCTGGCTTTTGGCTGAGGTGGACTGAAGTGATAGAACTGGGTCGCATGTCTTATCCATTCAGGAGGCCAGCCCAGGTCCCTTCCTACGCTGACTAGGTTCAAAAGCAAGAAAGGGCAGGCCTCACTGGAAGCACTTGAAACTGATTTTTGGCCTTATATTTTATACTTCATTGATTTTTCATTTGTCCATTTGAAATTCTTTGAGAGGTACTAGGGTGACATTTTCAGAAAAACCTTCTAGTTCTGGAAAGCATTTTAGATGAAACTTTTGATTTTCAGTATTGGTGAATTAAACCTTCTAGTGGCAAGGATAAAGCAAGAATTACTTATGTTGGCTTATACGTTTGGTGATGTTTAAACAGGTTTCTATCTTAGTGTGAGGAATTTATTAAGACCTAAGGTGTGGCAGCTGAAAAAAATGTCTGCTTTTATTATCATATACTTTTTTTGTTGTTTCCTTAAAATTTTATCACCTTTAAAAATCTGGGGCATGTAAGCAGAAGCGTCCTTTCTTTAAAGTGGACTTTTTTGTTTGTGTTTTTGAGACAGGGTCTTGATCTGTCACCCAGGCTGGAGTGCAGTGGCATGATCATGGCTCACTGATGTCTTGACCTCCTGGGCTCAAGTGATCCTCCCATATCAGCCTTCTGAGAAGCTGGGGCTATAGAGACACATCACCACATCTGGCTATTTTTAACTTTTTTGTAGGGACAGGGTTGTGCCGTGTTGCCCAGGCCAAACTTGACATTTTTATTAGGTAGAATTTAATTTACTCTTGGAATCCTAGTTGTATAGAGACTTTAATTTATTTTAAAGGTCTTTTTTATTATTATCAATTTATTTATTTATTTATTTATTTTGAGGTGGAGTCTCGCTCTGTCACCAGGCTGGAATGCAGTGGCATGAACTCCACTCACTACAACCTCTGCCTCCTGGGTTCAAACAGTTCTTCCACCTCAGCCTCCTCTGCAGCTGGGATTACAGGCACCTGCCACCACGCCCCGATAATTTTTGTATTTTTGTAGAGATGGAGACCATGTTGGTTGGCCAGGCTGGTCTCGAACTCCTGACCACAGGTGATCCACCCACCGCAGCCTCCCAAAGTGCTGGCATTACAGGCATTAGCCACTGTGCCTGGCCTTTTTTTTTTTGCTTTGCTTTTTTTAAAAAAATGTGAATTGAAGAAAATGTGGTTTATTAGAAGTTAGGTTGGTCTTGTTTATATAAAATACAACCATGCCTTTCAACTTTTGTAATTAATATTCAACAAAAGGAGAAAGTAAATAGAGCAGCCAAAATTCCTCTGCCGTTATTGGTACTGTCCCTCAAGTGAAAACCCTTTAAATGTGAGATTGTTGTTTTAAACTAGGAAGTTTAATTTTCTTTTTGGAAGCTTGAATTCTCTTCTTCTCCTCCTCCTCCTCCTTCTTCTACTACTACTACTTTCTTTTTTTTTTGTAGCAATAGCCACAATAAGAAGGTACAAATGCACATGCTAGATTTGATGAGTTCTATCATCATGGAAGGTGATGGAGTTACTCAAGAATTATTGGACTCCATTCTTATTAACCTCATTCCTGCACATAAGGTCTGTAAAGTATGAATATATTAAAGGTTAATATTTAAGTCATGCTACACATAAGAATGAACAATTGTTTTATGGCCATTTGCAATCCCATGTAAATGTTCTCATGATCATTCTCCACCTCAAATAAAATAGATTAACATACATTAGTCTTGTGGCTATTATTTTTACAAAACATATTGATTAACATGTAAGATTTTTATTCATTTAGGTGTTATTTTTTGGAAACTGAAAATATTTTGTATTCATAGCACATAGTCTGAGAATTATATGGGGTTAGGGATGTTGTCTTTTTGGTTAATTTTGTTTGGAAAAGAAATGTATTTCTTCCTTTTTAACATAGATGTGAAACATAGGAATTTGGATTTATTTTCAGAATCTGTATTGTGCCTTTTTCTTAGGTACTCTCAGAAAAAGATTTGGGCAGAAGCAGAAGCTATATAATTAATGTTAAGAAGGAAAGGATGGGATGATTCAGAGGTGTATCATTCCTCTCCATTTCCTTTATCTATTTCTCTCCACCAGGTCCTCCTAAGAAACTGAAGGACTTGGCTGCCCTCAAGCTCCACCACTGGGCTCTACTCAAGCCTACCCCAGTGTTGATATTTGCCCTTCTGTTCTTTTTCTCTAATGATTCAGTAACCTGTTACCAGACATTAGAGGAAAAATCTGTCTAATTATACTCATTCACAGAAAGATATAATTAATTTGAAATTCTACTCTTGACTCTAATTATTATTTGCATTTTATGCAGATGAATTTGTAGTTTATAAAAATCCTGAGTCTATGACAAAGGAGAGCATGTTTTGGCAGGTTAAGACAGCATATTTGGTTTTTATATACTAGGTAAGTAGGTCCATGGTATTTTTTTTTTTTTTGAGACAGGCTCTTGCTTTGTCACCTAGGCTAGAGTGCAGTGGCACAATCATGGTTCATTGCAACCTTTGTTCCTGGGCTGAAATGATCCTCCCACCCCAGCCTTCCAAGTAGCTGGCAATACAGGCATGTGCCACCATACCTGGCTAATTTTTTTTTAAGTTAGTTTTAGAAACAGGGTTTTGCTATGTTGCCTGGGCTGTTTTCAAACTCCTGGACTCAAGTGATCTGCCTGCCTCAGCCTCCCAGAGTGCTGAGGTTACAGGAATGAGCGACCACAGCTGGCTTGAGAGCATTTTTATTAGTAGTAGGAAATGACTTCTTTTAAAATAGAAATGTTAATTTTAAGCAAATCTTATCCTTTGCCAATGAAATAAAAGTATAGAGCAGGGGTCAAGAAGCTGTGGCTTGTTGATCAAATTTGGACCATTGCTTATTTATGTGAGTAAGGTTTTATTGGAACACAGCCATGTTCATTCGTTTTCATTTTGTTTGTATCTGCTTTCATGCTACAACAGCAGTGCTGTGTAGCGTAGCAGTGATTTGTATGACCCATAAAACCTAAAGTATTTACGATGTGACCCTTCATCGAAAAAGTTTGCTAAACCCTTGCCTAGAGTTTAGGGTTTCCTAGCCCCTTTCGGGAAGAGGTGTGAGATGACAGTAAATTAATCTGTTTGATCTAAAACTTCAAGATATATAGCAATGTTAATAGGCATTATTCAAAACAATTCCCTTTTCAGCCATTTTTAAAAAATTAAATATATATTTTCTACAGTTTTTCTCAGATCCTTTAATTTATTTGAGTATGTTGGGGCTCTTTAAGAGGGAGCATAGTATTCAGCATTCCAAAAATATAATTGACCAAGACCCACTTTTTTGGGAACACTTAACCAGGTCTGCTCTTCTTCAGAGCACACATTGATTAAACAATGAAATAATTGAGCATGTTGTGTTAGATTGGGGAGTGTATGTGTTTAAGATACATGGTGTAGTTGTCGGTTTACATTGGTTAATAGACAAAACCAAAAAGTATTAGGTCTGTTTTGAGTTTACTAAAACTTAATATGGGGTTGTGCTTTTGCTAACTAATCCCTTTTAGTTTTTGATTAATAAATGAATTCATTTTGCAACTTCTGCAATTAAGACCACTTGACTAGAGGATATTTGGCAAAAACTTGAAGAGAATTCAGTTATTTTTATTTTCGTTTCATATTTTAGTGAAGGAAAATTCTTTTTTTATTATAGATTTGAAGACTACAGTGTTCTAATGTTACTATCTCATAAATTAACAAATTCATTTGTAACTTTTCATGTTTTTATTATTTTTCAGAACTTAAATAAACAGTCCTTTGACCTTGCAAAAGTGCTGTTGAAAAGAACAGTCCAGACTATTGAGGCATGCATTGCCAATGTATGTATTTCTGTGTATTGTTTAACTCTTAATCCGTTGTACTAATTTGTTAGAACCTGTTACATAACAAGTTTATTTAGCTTAAAGACTTTTTGTCCAAATGTGACCAAGGTTAGAGAAATGCAGCATAAACTTCATGATGTTGTTTTTAAAGGGCACAAGATAGTGGATGTTATTTTAAGAATACTTGTCTACAACTCCCATCCCCTGATCTGCGTTTGTATTTATGTTTATTTCATTGTCTCCCCAATATGCTGACCTCTTTAGTTTTGTTTTTTGAGGTGAAGTTTCGCTCTTGTTACCCAGGCTGGATTGCAATGGCACTATCTCAGCTCACCGCAACCTCTGCCTCCCGGGTTCAAGTGTTTCTCCTACGTCAGCCACCTCAGTTGCTGGGATTATAGGCATGTGCCACCACGCCTGGCTAATTTTGTATTTAGAGTAGAGACAGGGTTTCACAGTGTTGATGAGTCTGGTCTTGAACTCCCGACCTCAGGTGATCTGCCGTCCTCGGCCTCCCAAAGTGCTGGCGTGAGCCACCGTGCCCGACCTCTCTACATCTTTATCTTTGGGTCTCTGTGTCTCTTTTATATATTTTCCTCTTTGTTTCTTCTGGGTCATTCTTCTAAAGTCTTACTGTTTATTCCTCTTTAGCAGTTGCTATACAGTAATAGTTTAAAAAAAGCTTTATTGAGGAATTTGTTTGGGATATTTTTGTTGTCCTTACTAAAAAAAAAAAATCAGTGATTTGGAATAAAATATTTGTAATTTCACTACCTTATAGTAGTTAATTTCATTGTACATTTGCTCATATTTATACCTATTTTTACACATACTTTATGCAAAATTTTTGTCTTATTTGTATTTACATATTTTGACATTCTTTTTAAATATATAAGAATGACTATAAATATTTCTTGATATATATTTTCTTATTGTCATGCATTTAGGTCTTTTCAGTGTTTTTTTTCTTTCCTAATCATCTTTGTGAATCTAACATTTACATATTGTTGAATTATTTTCCATGGATAAAAATCCAAATGAGGTTTTGTTTTGTTTTGTTTTTTTCTGAGATAGAGTCTTGCATTTATGCCCAGGCTGAAGTGCAGTCGTGTGATTTTAGCTCACTGCAGCCCCTGTCTCTTAGGCTCAAGCAGTTCTCCTACCTCAGCCTCCTGAGTGGCTGGACTACAGTTGTGTGCCACCATGCCCTGCTAATTTTTGCATTTTTAGTAGAGACGGAGTTTTACCATGTTGGCTAGGCTGATCTCAAACTCCTGACCTTAGGTGATCTGCCCACCTTGGCCTCCCAAAGTGCTGGGATTACAGGCGTGAGCCATCACACCTGGCCAAGAATGAGTATTTTCTAACTCTTAATATATGCTGCTTTTCAGATTATGATACTAGCAGAAATACATGCTTGTATCAGTTGCATACATTTGCCCCTTTAGCTTTTTTTTTTTTTTGAGACAAAGTGTCACTCTGTCACCAGGCGGGAGTGCGGTGGCTTGATCTCAATCTCCACTCACTGCGACCTCCGCCTCCCGGGTTCAAGAAATTCTCTGCCTCAGCCTCCCGAGTAGCTGGGATTATAGGCGCCCACCACCACGCCTGGCTAATTTTTGTGTTTTTAGTAGAGATGGGGTTTTTACTGTCCTGGTCAGGCTGGTCTTGAACTCCTGGATCTCCCACTGTCCTCAGCCTCCCAAAGTGCTGGGATTATAGGCATGAGCCACCATGCCTGGCCCCTTTAACATATTTAAAATTTAATTCTTCTGCGTGTATGGGGGTTTGGTGTGTGGTACTGGTATCTTTTAATTTGCGCTCTTGGCCTTGTGTTCCCCATTTTTCTCTCTAGCATTTTTTTAAAAATCAGCTGTTTTGTCACCACTTTTTTCTTCTTAAACATATTTGACTTTCTCTGAGTATTAAAAGAACCAACCCAACAACAACAAAAACCTCCTTCACCTTTAAATACTTTTTATTACTAAACTCATA